ACTAAGTCATTCAACTTAGAAACAATACTTAGTTTCAACCTCAATTCCACTAGAAAGAAGTACAGAAAGAGTCGAGTAATTAAACTTGGGGACAAATACTCAACCCTTTCCTTCAGAACTCAAAGAAAAGTAGGGATCCCTAAGTCATTCAACTTAGCTGGTCTGGTTCCGTTCAGAAACCTAAAAAAAAAAGCAGGTTGATCAAACCATTCAACTTACAAACAGATGTTTGGCCTTTGAAAACAAACCATGCATTCCCCACATCAAATTAAATCGTTGCTGGACCATTCAACTAAGAAACAAATGTCTGGCCCCAAGCAATACAAATAAATGAAGCGATCAGGTCATTTAAATTAGAAACAAATGCCTGACTTTTTTGTTGACCCAACAACCTCAGTCAAAACCACCGTCCTCCCACCTTCCTGTCACTTTCCCTCAGTTCACCATTTTTAAAATTTGACTTTAGACAAGCAAAAAAATGAAGTTTGCGCATGCATTTCTTTATTTTAGTCCGAATTAGGTCAAGGAAGTCAAACAACAATGTGTAGGGGTGCATGCAGTATAATCAGGCACCCATAGAAAGATGTACATATAAGAGTTTTAGAAGGGGTTTATAGAAGGAGTCGAATGGTTACCACTAAGTTCCCTGCCTCTAGAATTCCTCCTGAGTTCTGGCAGATCTCCCGCAATCGGTGGGCAGACTCCCCACAGAGTCTTGATGCGGTCCTACGGGTTGCAATCCTGCCTGATGCCTTCCTCTTGTAACCTTAGACTAGACTTAGAGTAAAAAGGGCGGAAGGAGGGGTATCAGACGCTCGAGATACAAGAGAGGCACAAACTCAACTTGCAGGAGAGGACCTTGATATCCTCAATCGCCTGAGGGTCCCGCAATGGTGGCAAAAATGCAAGGTTAAGTCGGTCAAACTATGGCCAAATCGCAAGTCGCTGCTTCATGGCAATCCCCTAGTCGTACCAGAGACCCTTCCGCAAAAGTCTGATCGCACCCTCAAATCGTGATATTATAACCACTGGTTAGAGCGCAATTATGCATCTTCAAAAATACTATGTTTCAAATAGGGCACACCCGCGTGCTCTATTCGAGGCGTAGTAAACATAATCGAGTTCAACAAGACTTTGTCCACATAACAATCGTGCGCAGTTAGCACACAGCAAAATACAGTAGGTTGTTGTTAATGCAGTGATCCACACATCAACGGACCATGTTCTCAACAATGCGCATCAACAAGAAGAAAGAAAAACATGGCGCTGTCGAAACACAACTATCCAAACTCAACAAAACGATATGCACTGCCACCAGCAGTCGCTTACAACGAAGTCCAGCAACCGCACATCATGTAACCCAACAGCGGTTTACACAGTAATAGCAGTTTCTGAGCAAACGTCCATATCAACCTGGAGCCTAGTAGTAGCGGTCTGTCGTTGATCCGCAATAGTGTCCGAAGCACGACAAAACGCAGTGGTGTACCGCCACCACAACAATGGTGAAATACAGCTGCAGGGCACGTTGATACTTAATTTAGAAGTCACCACTATCGAACATATGACAACTGCTGCTGTCAATGTTGAAAGCAGACCGCAATAGGTTTTTTAAAAGGCACAACAAGCGCCCGATGACCAGGCTGTCAGAAGGTCAGCAATTTCAGTACCCCTTGGATTCATCCACGTCAGCAGCTTTTGCGTCAGCTACAGCCCCCTCCAGAGTTTTTTCTGGCCTCGCTCTCCTCAGACATAGTTCAGCCTATTTCAGGCCCTAATAGGCGTGTCCACACTTAAACCCCTTACAACAGATCGTCGGTGGTGGGTGGTACGGGTCCCCTCGGCAGGATTGATGTGATCGACAACGAGCCAGCATCATCACACTTCTCTCTCACCCTGATCTGAAACTTGGTCTAAAGTTCTTTTCAGCACCACTGTGCCGCTAACTTCCTCCTCCTCTGCTTCAGTCAATTCAGGTACGCATGGACTCAATTGTTCCCATTTCTGAAATGTTATGGTCCCATTCATCGCTTTGTCTAAAAGCTTTCGGTAGGAAACTTCCCGGTCCAACTTCTTTGCCTTGTACCAAATATCGGTGGGGTATGTTGTGACTTATGATAGTAGGTACCTCCAACTTAGTGGAATGTCATTGATGATTAATCGGACCTTCGTTTCTACTTCTCATAGTCTGCCTAGTTTCTCTTTCAACTTCGTTGTCGGAATCCAGCATCCGCAGACTTCATTCAAGAGATCTGCTATGCGAAGCACACCGTACTGAATCCACGATCTTCCAAAAGCACCCGGTGTTGTGCCGACTGAGAAAGGGAGACCATTGGTATCTTTGACGAATTGGTTATCGAACAACGGTTGATTCACAACTTTGTCCTTTGTGACTGACTCCGACCATAATTTAGGTTTTATTTTCCTCCACGCCGACAATTATCCCTGCCAAAAAGACGACTTTACATGTTTGCATAGGTAAGAATCTAGCATGCAACAGAGTCATACGTCCCTCAACCAAGGTAAATCTCATTCATCCACAAGAATGACTTATGCCATAATAAAATTTAATGGTCCTCACGGCTACATGAGATGAATTTGATTAGCCATTGTGTTAATATCGCAAACTTATGTTTGTTTGGTTCAAAAATGCCTAGACCTCCTTCCTTTTTTGAGTTGCAGACCGTATCTCAAACCATCCATCTTCCTAAATGATTTCCACCGTGAGAAGAATCAACCTTCCTTTTTAGAGAGAGGCTGAATGACAAAATTGAAAAATGGGTCAAATTGCGGTTGTGATCTATTTCCCAGTTTTCACTGTTTGAATGATTTTTTGAAATTTATTTAGTATTTTTTCTGGAAAGATCACAACAAAATCTACGAGAACCAGTGTTGGTCCCCGGTCCAACCGGGGGGCCCTCCTCGAGCCAGATCCGTTCCGGTCGGACCGGCCGGTCCACCAGCCCGCCTCCCCCCCGGTCGGCCCCAGCGCATTACAGCTGGGGGAGGGTACCGGGGTCCAATCGGTCCGGTAGGCCTGCCCGATTCGTTTGAAAAGGCGGTCGATCTTCGCCGCCGATCTCGAGTGATCGGTGGCCCAGATCGGCCGCCCTTTTCAAACGAATCGGGCGGGATCTGGCGGGCGACTTTCGGAGGTTGCCTTTTGCCTCCCGTTGCCCCGAACGCGTTTCGGCATCGCGTTCCCGCCGATGACATCGGCATCGCTCCGAACGCGTCCACGACATCGCGTCGACGACATCGCGGCCACGACATTGCGTCCTCAGAGGTTCGGCATTGCGTCCACGACATGGAGAGGCAGGCGACCCGTCCTCTTCTTCTTCTTCTTCTTCTTCTTCTTCTTTAGTTATTCTTCTTCTTTCTCTCTCTCTCTCTCTCTCTCTCTCTCTCTCTCTCTCTCTGCGTGTGTGTGTTAGTGGG